TGCTGCTGTTGTTCAGCCGCTGGTTTCCTCTTTCTGGCGCGAAGTGGGCGATAAACAAACAAGAGAGACGGAGTCGCAACAGAAAAGCCGATCAGCTGATCATTAAGCAGTTTCACGATTGAAGTAGCAGCAAGAAGAGGCAGTCGCTCCAGGTATTGGTTGTTAAGCTTAACGCGGGAATGCTTTACAAACATTCAGAGATGAACTTACACACTTGCTTTACTTCTCTCTGGGATAACTTTCTCAGAGATGAAATGCTGGTTTGGTAGCGAGGCTTCAAATACACACAGCTGCTCTATCACGTGAGCACACTGCTCCGACGTGCTACGGTTATGAGCCGAGTTACGCCGTGTAGCAAGTTTTGTGAGGTGCTTTTTTTATATTTAATGGATCGGATTACATTTTTTTATTTCTCTCCGATATCCGATCCAGTGATTTACGTCAGTATCGGACCGATACCGATACGTAATATCGGATCGGTCCATCTCTAATATAAAGCAGGAAAGTCCGATTGATGGTTCTCTTGCTATTTACACTCAGTCAGCAGCATGGAAATATTATAAGGATTGACACAATCTTGGTAAAGACAAACAATGACATACGAATGGTTGGTTGTCTCTGTAAAGAACTAGTGACACTACACGGGGTGTACTACACTTCTCGCCTAGTGCTGTCTGGGATAGGCTCCAGCCTTTGGCAATTCTGTGTGGACAAGAAGTTAAGAAAAGCCATACATAATAGTGGCACCTGTTTGTGAAGTTCCCAGAGAAGTTTGACGTGTACGAAGTGGGACGCCATTTGAATACTCGACTTTCAACTTTTGAGCAACCAGGTGGAGGCAAATGTGACGACACTCATTCCAAATGCTCAAAATATGGAAACATTGACTTCTGAATTCAGTAGCAAACTTCAAAGCTGCTTTACATATAGAAGCACTTTACAGAGCCACTATGGTACACACTCAGTTCAGATGTTCTAAAGGTGCTGACATTAAATTCTGCCTTGTAAACTCTACCACAGTCCTGAAAGTCATATCTGTTCGTGCATTTTCATCCCTTCTTCTCTCCTTTCCAGCTCTTCTCCATTGTGATCTTCGGCTGCATCGCCAATGAGGGCTACATCAACCAGGCCAAAGAAGAGGAGGAGTACTGCATCTTCAACCGCAACCAAAACGCCTGCAATTATGGGGTGTTTATGGGCTCCATGGCATTTCTTTGCTGTGTGGGCTTCCTGGCTCTGGACATCTATTTCCCTCAGATCAGCAGCGTCAAAGACCGCAAGAAAGCTGTGCTGGCTGATATTGGGTTGTCAGGTAAACACATTGTTTTTTCATACCGTATTTCTTTACAATACTTTATAGTTGTGAAGTATTTTGTTTGAGTTTGGATTTTTACCTTCAGATGTGCTAAAGCCTCAGTTACACAGACCTAGAGACTGGTTTGGGGAACATGTGCAATCACATGCAAGTTGGTGAGTGGTTGCTGTCTGTTGCTGGGTGATACCAGCCGCAGAGACGGTGCTGCACCAAAAAACTTGATTGATTGGTCGGTAGCAGATTGCCAACTACTCATAAAAATCCCGCCTTACTTCTACGAGTCAAAAGGTGCAACTTTACTTTGAAGGTGAGCGTGCTACATTTCCAGTTTGCGCCACACTTTTTTCAGTTTCACAGTTTTGCTTGGGGAGTAGTTGGCAAGTGTTTGCAAACAAGACTTCATCTTCCATCTACAATACAGTAACTGTGGGAATCTGCTAGCAACCAAAGCAATCACAAGGGTATTTGCACCGTATACCTCTTTGCGACCAGTTTCGCATAACAAGCGTCAGCAACCACTTGCTATCTGTTCATGGAGTTCACATTTCTTCCAAGCAACAGGTGATTGCCAATGAGTCTCTGGGTCTGTTTGTCTGGAGATCAACAAAGACTCCTACAAACAGCTTTCATAAATACCTAAATTCACTTCCCATGGATGCTCGAACCAAATAGGCCTTTTTTTGTGCAAATTATCCCAGCCGCTCGAAATATACTACCTAACAAAAACCTGTCAGCGATTTTTGTAATGTATAAAAATGCCGTGCAGTTAGGTTATTACAACAAAAGGAGAGATGTGTGACAGGGATAATAAGTAGACAAGTACTCATCTGACACTAACAAGTCTCTGAGATGTTGTGCGTTGGCGTCCCTGACAGTGGCTTCCACTACTTCTCCACTGCACTGCTACTGCAATGAACTCAAAAATAATGACAGGACAGTGAAGTGTCGGATCGGTTAATGAGGTAGTTCCTGTCACAGACAGAGTTCGCCCTCCCTGTTTTCGTCACCTACACTCTCTGACTCTCTGATTTCTCTTGCCGTATCTGTTGTAATATGAGATGGTTTCCACACTGAAGAAATAAGGGAACCTGATAATCCCTGGGCGTTTCTGATTAGGCTTTATACATTGCCTCCACACTCCAGCTCTTTTAATTTCTCTCTCGTCTTCCAGTTCCCCCCAGCCAGCAGGAAAGAATCATATCTGATTTTATGAGTAAATCCTGCTGTCTGACTGCTCATCTTGCGTACCACAGGGCTCATTTTGGGGCCCATTGCTGTTCTCAGTTGATTGCCTCCACCTTTTCATTCTTATGCTGACTTAATTACCTGCTTTAGTCATCCAGCTGTGGTACCTGAGCTTTGTTTTTCTGCACTATGTGTTCGACAATTTGAGAAATATCTCTTTTTTTATGAGAGTCTTCAGTAAAACAGTTCTTGTTTTGTTAAACAAATGGCAGCAGGAACTTAGTCTAGCTAAGCTAAAAGAGTTGAAACAGGTGGGAACGTTTAGTTTGGCTTAATTACAGTTATACAACATATTCATCAACCAGTAGCTTATAGGTGAAGGTGGTGATTGGCTGAGTTTTGTCACCTTTATAAGACAGCTACCTATTCTCCCCTGCTGTTAGTGCATATTCTAACTAAACAGCCATGCAGATGTAATCTAATCAAGTAAGTACTGTAAATACTTAAACTAGTCTTTTAACAGATGAATTCAGTTGTAAACATTGTAATTTGCTCATACTGAGTTGCAACACGAGTTCCATTCTGTTATTTTGGAGTTAAGCAAGAGGAATTTCTTAGTAATTTTACTCCGAATCTCTGTGTTTTTTTTCTTATTCCAGCATTCTGGTCCTTCATGTGGTTTGTGGGTTTCTGTTTCTTGGCCAACCAGTGGCAGGTGTCTGAGGACAACCAATTTAAAGAGAGAGGGGACGCTGCCCGAGCAGCCATCACCTTCTCCTTCTTCTCCATCTTCACTTGGGTAAGGAGCTTAATGGCCTGATGCGGTGCTGTAACCAAAGACGGGACTGACAACCTCAAACTTTGAATCTTATTTGGCTTTTATCCTCAGCTTGCTTATATAGCCAGGGAGCTATATAAATGTGTCTCCCTTCATCTTTTTTTTAGTACTGCTTACTGTTTCTGACATGTGAACTCATGACTGTACAAATATTGTTCCAACAGGGGGCCCAGGCTCTCTTCTCTATGGAGAAGTTAAAGAATGTGTCATTTGAAGAGGAATACACCAAGCTGTTCCCTCCTCAGCCTCATCAGTCTTTTGTTTGACTTTATCTTCTCTCTTTGTTGCCTTAACCATCTGCAGCAGGTCCTACACGCTCCTCTTTCTTTACTGAGACTGCACTTGATTTGGGCGCCCTCTTACAGCAAATACTGCCGTTGCTGACACAGAGACATAAAAGCAGACTTACTAATCCAAACACCTCCAAACACCCACATTAACAAGCAGGCTGACCTTATCATTCATCAGCGCAAGACACTCAACAGCTAAATTTACACGTGCAGCTCTAAATATCTCAGGTGTGAAATCAGAGCTTTTTCTGTTGGAATTTCATGAAAGACTCATTTTATTTAAGAAGAAAAGCTTCACCAAATTATTTTTTTTAATTTTTTTGTTGAAACAGATGTTACAGTCAGAGTATCTGCAACACCAAACCTGGAGCCCTGAGCAATTGCTGTCTCAGTTTTTAGGACTGGACACCATTTTTTCACGTCCTTAATTGTAATGAGTTTTTATAAAATTATTAATTGCTTACACCCCCACCCCCTAATTTTCAGTTCCTCACTTAAACTAATAATTTGATGTATACTTACTCACAATCTAGAGCACATTGCAGTGTTGAGATGGTTATTTTCAGATATATTATTACACAGATATGTTGCACTCAAAATCCTCGATTGAAATCAATGGGAGAATTCGACAGCACTCAGACGTTGGTGGAAGTGTAACTTATAGGGGATGTTTTAAGCCTTTCCTGTTGTGTAAGATCTGATTGCTGACTCTATGTACTGCTGACAAGTGAAATGAAAGCTAATTTAGCTAATGCTTAGTAACACCAAACTTGTTTCAAGATGACCGACTTTGTTTATGTGCTGGACAGTTTCTCCAGTAGAAGGACTTCAGGCTCAATCAATCAAGCAGAGAAATGTTAAAGAGCTTTCTGTTGGAAGATGTTAAGTTCAGATGGAGCGAGAACTGTTTCGCCTCGTTTACAGTGAGAACACAAGCTAAGCTGAGTCGTCTCGCTACAGACTCCAGCATATTTAACACATTTTATAGGGGTGTCAGTTTCCTCTGTGTTTGCACACACAGGCTCCCTCTTTCACTTTCATTTTATTAAATTTAGATGGTAGAGGTGTGTTAGAGCTTCAATTTTAGTCATTTAACATTTAATATTCATTGTCTTTTATGGCTAAGTTTTATTATGCGGGTGCTAATAAAATGTTCTATATTCATATTTACAAAAAAAGTCTGAAATATTCAGGGTTCAGTCCATGTAACTCAGACTGCAATGAGTGCAAATTTCCTCTAAGTATGTGCTGTGGAACGTTTTCTTTTGGACAGTTAGCTGGCCTGATGCGCTGTCATGTATCGACTTATAAAATCAAAAAAGGTTCAAAAGTATTGCAGCTATTCAAGTGTCTGCAACATCTGAGCAGTCGATAATAAAGAAAATCTCCTCGTGTAACTTGAATCATTTTAACTTTCTCTGTGTTGCTCTGTTTTACCTCTGGCTTGTCCCACGATTTCCTTTCTGAATTATCAACACAAGGGGAACTCGTGCTCTTCTTCTAGAGCTACACGATGTACAAGCAGCGTTTTTTGTGCTGCTGCTTGAGGAAGTAATTCACTGTGACTGATTCACTAAAGCTGTCTAATAATGTTGTCAAGCTTTCCAGCCAACTAACCACTGTGTCCTGTCTTTTGTTGTCTGACCCCTCCCTTCCTCACACTAACATCGTCCCGTCTCTGTTTCATCATCTGTCTTCAATCGCCTCCTATTCATCTCCTCGTCCTTTCCCATTTACGATCCTCATCGCCAAGGCGGGCCAGTCTTTCCTGGCCTTCCAGAGATACAAGCTAGGGGCCGACTCGGCCCTCTTCTCCCAGGACTACACAGACCCCAGCCAGGATGCAGCCGGAGCTCCCTACACCTCATTCGGTGGGGATGACCTGGAGAGCCCGGGAGGAGGAGGAGGCCAGACCAACAGTGACGGGGCCTTCGATGGATCCGGAGGCTACCAGCGTCAAGAATACTGAGATGTTAGGAGACATTTATGTATGCTGATGAAGTTGTCCAAGGTTTCTACTTCAAAATAATATTTGTGCTGTTTTGTGTTACACAAGAAACACTGAATCCATTACTTGGTGTATTGGGCAGATCTTTTATCACATCCTAGATCCAACAACCTCAAGTTTTGAGTTGCAAATTTATTGCTACAATTTACTGTTTTTATTGTTACGCGCAGGGGTTAAAGTGGGATCTGGCAGGTGAGGAGACCTGAAGATCGGGTGTAGCGGTGCAGCATGGGGAGAAAAGATTTACTTTGAAATAATTCACATAAAATCCTTGTTTGGTTTTTGAGTTCCAGCAGATTTTTCTTTGTGCTCATGCTGTGACTCGATATTCACTGTTATTCACAAGATGTAAGCAGCTGCATGTACGGCTGATTTCACCTAGACAGTAAAAAGTTAGTATAAAAAGATCGGATTCTATGAGTAAGTGTGCACCACGCCATCACCTTAAATGTAAATTGATGTCTGCTACACCTGATGTAAGCTAACACCACAACACCACAGCCTATAACAGTCTAACACAGTGCATCATTGTAAGCTCTATCACAGAACTGCAAACTAACTACACTAACCTGCAGTCTTTGACTGTCTAAAATGAGTATACTTCCATTAGTTTGACAACACGTGTAGATTTTAAAACTCTGAAACCAATTTTATTACAGCTTTAAATTTCATCTCAGAGATGAAATTCTCTCTGGGAAGTACACTAAGTTGCTCCATTTATTCTCCTCGTCTTTAGTGCGAGGAAGATGCTGAAGTACCACGACCACAACTTTACATCTGCACCATGAACACATCACAGGGATGAGAAGGAAAAGGGGACGTGTTAATGTGTAAAAGCTCTGTGGTGTGTTGTTATTTTCTTACTACTGAGCAAGTGTCTCCAGGCCATCACTGGAAGTAACACCAGGCTGAAGCATAAGAAGAATGACTCATTCCACAATCATTTATTATTTATTAACTCAAGGTACCAGAAAATTGTTAAGACCCACTTTAACCCCTGGTTATGTGCACAAAATAATGTGCCCGTGACAATAAATAATGTAAAGAAAACATATTGTTAAAGGTCAGTACAACAAAAACAGAGCGTACTTTTAAAAAGAACAGGGAGAGATTATGACATTTTACATTTAAGACTTACACCAACGATCAGCTCAGTTGACTTTGTGATCTTTACAACAGCTTCTGCATTTAGGTGGTGATTTTTATCCCATGTGACAAACACTGTAATAATCAGAAGAAATTAATGTCATCAATTCTGGCAAGTTTATCTGTCTTTTTGTCAAAAAAAAAAAACCTCCACAAAGAAATCTTGGGCATCCCCCAGATTTTGGATGCATAGGTAACAGGTGGTGATCTGCAGTTAGGCAGACAAACATCAGTGGGTTCACTTCATCCTTGGGAAGGAGCTACAGAGTGCAAACACGCCAGGTTTTACTGGAGGTGTTAACTCGGGGTTTGGGGGCAGGGGGTGGATTAGAAACTATCGGCAGGTCACCCTGTAGCTGATCAATGCTTGTGACCACACTGCCTTCAACTTGTGAGGTCTTCAGTCGGTCAGCAAAATAAGTGCGATAGCTAAAACGCTCCCAAACAGACACGCACGCACAGGTTCACAGCCTATCGATGCTGCGAACACAAGTTTTTGCTGACAGAACTCGTCGATGGGCCATTACAGGATATCAGCATAGATAAACAAGCAGCAGTGGCGTATCAGGCAACTAATCCCCTCCCCTGTATAATGAGACTGTGTTTGTATTGAAATTTGTCCTTTTTTCCTTGAAATGTTTTTATGTTTCCCTGTGAAGCTTTTTCTGTCCTCAATTGTTGCCTTAGTGCTGACTGCCAAGCAGAATCCATCACGCAGGAACACAAGCCTCCACAACACACTGATGCTCTCTTTCAAAGTCTTAATGTACAGCAAAACAAATTTGGTCCTGTTTTGTCCTTGAGCACGTCAAACCACTTTACAAAAGCAAGCGTTTGTCATCAGTATAGAGCGTTCCTTATCAGCAGGTCTGCGGAAAACTTGTGTGTGTTTTCCGCTCGTTGTCAACAAATCTGCAGGCATCCTCAATATTTATGAACATGCATCGCTCCATTTTTTGTGCTCCATTTTTCTCCAGTGTATCTGTCTGTATAAACATATGTAAATCTATAATTGAGTATATAACAGTGTTTGAAAAAGATTCTGCTTTATTTTAGGGCATTAAGTTAGTTCTATATTTAAAAAAGACAAAAGAAAGAAAGCTCTGTGGTCTGTTGAGTGTTATTGTGATAAGATATATGGTGAGGTTATCCATGCCTCATCCTTTGTGTTGCTCTCGAGGTAAGGAGAAGTTTTTATTTTGGGGATAACAATATTAAATATTAAAATATGCATACATATATATATGGCTACGGAAAATGTGACCAAATTATCAAAGTATATATGCACATATATACTTTATGCTGTACATCTGTGTAGACGTAGAAATGTGTGATGTTCCTCTGTGAAATGAAGCAAATTAAGATTAAAGAAAAAACAATTGTGTACAAATGTATGTTTCTGATGTGGTTTTAACCAATAAAAATAAAGAAAATACTGAACAAAAATGCAAGATGAGATGAGAATCTCTGGTGTTGGATTTTTGGATTACAGCAAACTTTATGAGCCAACCCTCAGAATTAAAATACATTGGCAGTGTGTGTGTGTGTGGTTGTTTTTGTGCTGAAAAATGAATCCTTTCCCAATCAGACGCTTTCCCGATGCTATTGTATCTGGCTCAAGCTCTAATAGTACTTCTCTGAGTTCATAATTTTAGCAGTTTTGACAAGATCCCCACAGCTCTGATTGAAATGCTGCCCCCCAAAAAGGACAGAGCGTCCACTGGGTTTTACAGGTGGCTGCAGACACTCACTGTGATACCTGTTGGCACTGATTTACAGTCCAATCGTTTTTTTCTTTTCTCTTCCCTTCCTTAAAAATGGCTTCTTGTCAGCCACCCGTTCACTCAAACAGTTTCTGATGAGGTTTCGTTGAACAGCAGATGGATCAACGAAATGACTTACAGATCTTATTCATCTCGTGTAGATATTTTTTAGGCCTGCCACTTCACATCTTGTCCTCCTCTTATCCAGTGTCCTCACATTTTCTGAGGGCACACTAAACATATTGCTGGGATATGCCAGCAACAGGTCTTTGCAAATTATTTTACATGTTTTATTTCTATCATTCACGGGCTAAGTGGCTTAACAATGACACGAAACAAAAACATTCCTGTGAAAATAGTCGTGCACAAAGACTGGACGGAAAATGAGGTTTAAAAAAATAAATAAATAAATCACTCAATGGCAAAAGAAATATTTTGAAAGACTGTCAGAAAGCATGGAGAACTATTGCTGAAGACCACTTGATGTGGGGGTGGCTCAAGATTTAACTTCTAAATGTTGTATCTCTCTTAGACCTTTATAGAGAATGCTGAAAAACATCAACTTTTCACCTGGGGTGAGCTTACTTATGCAGGAAACGTTTATCCATGTATTTTTCAAAGCTGTAAATGGTCACAAGCAGGCTGGTTCGTCCACTATTTATAAGACACAGCTCCCCCTGCTGGCAGGAGTTTTACCCGCGAGTTCAACTGCAAGACAGCTTTTAATTTAATGCAGTTATTCAGCTTTTTTTTTTTCTTTAAACTTGCTCTTTCTTTTGTTTTAGTTCACACTGTTAATGTACTTTTAAAATAGTTAATTCGAGAAGAGTAAAGCTGCTAAGCGCATGTGTGGCTAATTTTATAATATGGAAAAATAGATAGTCCAAGCACAAAAGACTAAATTAAGAATGTGTGCTACTTTTTTGGAAAGGCGATTGAATATATAGAAGTTTAGTATGGTAGTCTAGTTAAGAAATTACAATCACAATAAACATAAAAAGTGTAAAGCAAAAAGTGGTAGGTAGAGGTAGTTTATGGTAAACACATGGTGGCGGTATTGTCAAAGAAATCCGGTTCAGCAAAAAAGCAGAAGTCGGGAGTTTTTCTTCCTTTCTTTTTGTCGTTTTATTATTTATTTAAACAGTTTTTTTTCTGTTTATTATTATTTACTTATCTTTTCCACTTTATAAATGAGGCACATCAAAAATGTATTATGGAAATACAAAGCACGCTTAGAAAGAGATTTTAAAAAAGCCCAAACAAACAAACGAGCTTGACGTTATATGCTGCCTTCAAATACCATCAGAATTGCTGAAGCAATTTAGCAGACGAGTGTAAATCTTACCGTCTCCGATATCCTTCAAAGGACGCAGCCCCTGAATTTGGATCATGGCTCACAGACTTGCATGTGGAAGAATTAGGAAAGACGGGTATAAGAAAGCAAGACGTGTATGCAGTTCCTGTTGTTAAAACGCGATAA